CGAGGATATATCAACTTTAGAGGTTCATTTGAGAGGGTCAGCTGAGTGGTTTCCGAACCGCCCTTGCTCTCGCTTTCTTAGCCCTCACTCCATCTTCCCTCTCTCTCTCTCTCTCTGTGGTCTCTCTATCTTTCTCTCTTCTCTCTCTGGTCTCTCTATCTTTCTCTTCGTCCGTTTTTCGCTTTCTTAGCCCTCACCCCCTCTTCTGTCTCTCTCTCTCTCTCTCTCTCTCTCTCTCTCTCTCTCTCTCTCTCTCTCTGGTCTCTCTATCTTTCTCTCCTTCTGTCTCTGGTGCCATTATCTGGTCCCACTATCTTTCTCTTTTTCTCTCTCTCGTCTCTCTATCTTTCTTGTTTTTTTTCTCTCTCGTCTCTCTATCTTTCTCTTCTCTCTCTATCGACTCTGTATCCTTCTCTCCTTCTTTCTATTCTCTCTACCTTCCTGTCTTTCGTCTCTCTATCTTTCTCTACTTCTATATCTGCTCTCTCTCTCTCTCTCTCTCTCTCTCTCTCTCTCTCTCTCTCTCTCTCTCTCTCTCTCTCTCTCTCTCTCTCTCTCTCTCTCTCTCTCATATTGTTTCCTTCCTCTTCTTCCTCCTGTCCAAATAATGACTACAACGGGAAATACTTTTCTTTCTATTCTCGTTTATTATCAGTTTATTATCCTACTTCCTACATTTGGTGTCACGTGCCACTAATGGCATATTATATCATCCACATTATGCTTTATAATGTCACCATATACGACATTGTAAAACCGATTTATAATACATGAGGCACCAAGTTTCGAAAACAAACAAACGGCATCGTAATAACAGAAAACGAGTGAGATTTTGCTTCTGTACGATTTTTTTTTAGTTTTATTTTGTTTTTGTTTTGTTTAGTTTTTTTTTTTTTTTTTGGTCTTTCGTATCAAGATTAAAAGAAAATAAAGCCATTAGTCCCTTTTAGAATATTATAATCCGGTTCTAGCTTCCACAAACGGCCTCGGCGCATTTCGTTTTCTAAACAAGGAATATCGCCAAGGTAAAATCGCTATGTATTATCCTCATTTCTTCTTCTTTTTCTTTCTTTCTTTTTTTACAACATATCATAAAAATATATAGATTTGAAAAAAAATATGTGCGAGATGCAGCTTGGGTATGAAAAATCGGTCTTGCTTTTCACTGTTGTTTTGTTATGAAGGCATCTGATCGGGAACTGGATGGCCATGTGAATGCATTTCTGGCATAATGTTGCCATCGGGAGATGCTGCGATGCCGAGAGAAAAAAAGTTAAAGGGAGAAAGAGGAATTGGAAAGGATGGAGGGAGAAGGAGAGGGAAGGAAGAGAGAGAGGGGGAGGGAAAGGAAAAAGAGAGAAGGGGAGGGAAAGAATAAAGAGAGAGGGGGAGGGAAGTGAGAGAGAGAGAGGGAGGAGGGAAGAGAGAGAGAGGGGGGGGAGGGAGGATTATCATTATTATCAATATTATTACTGCCACTATCACTACAACTATCATTATCGCTATTATTATCATCACTATTATCATTATCATCAATTCTATTACTACTACTAATATCTTCAATACAATTACTATTTTCATCATCAGCTTCAATACAATTTCTATAATTATTATCTTCAATGCTATTACTGTTATTATTTTCAATACTATTACTGTTATTATCTTCAATACTATTACTGTTATTATCTTCAGTACTATCACTATCTATATTATCATCTAAATTACTATTATTATTATCAATTTCAATACTATTACTATAATTATTTTCTTCAATACTATTCTATTATCATCATCATCAGTACGATTACGATTATTATCTCCAGTACTATTACTATCATCTTCATCATCAGTACTATTACTATTCTTATCTTCATTACTATTACTATAATTATTACTATAATTATTACTAAAATCATTTTCTTCAATACTATTCTATTATCATCATCATCATCAGTACGATTACTATTACTCTCCTGTATTACTATTACTATACTTATCTTCATTACTATTACTATTACTATAATCATTATCTCCAGTACAATTACTCTCATCATCATCATCAGTACTATTACTATTCTTATCTTCATTACTATTACTATAACTATTATTATAATTATTACTAAAATTATTTTCTTCAATACTATTCTATTATCATCATCATCAGTACGATTACTATTACTATCTACATTACTATTACTATACTTATCTTCATTACTATTACTATAATCATTATCTCCAGTACTATTACTATCATCATCGTCAGTACTATTAATATTATTATCTTCATTACTATTACTATAATTACTATCTCCAGGACTATTACTATCATCATCATCGTCAGTAATATTACTATTATTATCTTCCTTCCTATTACTATAATTATTATCTCCAATACTATTACTATCATCATCATCATCATCAGTACTATTACTATTCTTATCTTCATTACTATTACTATAACTATTATTATAATTATTACTAAAATTATTTTCTTCAATAC